GCTAACTTCTCTAAAACAAAAAAGATTTTGGATTATTTTTACAGTAATAACGGAGTCCTACAACCTTAATAAACTTTCTATATGCTTCTTTTTTGTTTATTCTTCGTAGTTTCTTTTTTTTAAAAAGTACTTTAAACTGTATAAATAACGTAAAATTAAATTGATTTGAACAGCCAATCATACGAATGTCTGCCTATGACTCTTAGTACACATTTTTGGAATTTTGTTTATAGTACTAAGAGGGTGCACTTACGTAAGGTTGACTGTATTTCAATAATTCATGGTTCAGGATCTAGAGTTTCAAGTTGTTATAGATAAGAGCATTCGACTAGATTTTTAGACAACACGCGGACAAGGTGTGAAGTACAGTACTTTCAATATAATTTGTGCTTATGTTTATGGTCATTTGATATTTATTTATAAAAAAGAAAGACTCCGACGTACATATGTACGTATTTATTTTACATAATAACGATAACAATGAAATTTCTAATAATATTGGTACAATTGATATTTGCAAGATTGATAGAGACTAATGTTGGATAACTTATATAAGGAAATTTGTCCTACAAAAATGTTGATAATAACAAATTAACATGCAAACAACATCGGTATATGAGATAGAAATTTCCGATATTCTGTTACAGCAATTGTGAATCATGAAGATTGTGGAAGTATTAATAATTGATCATATCTCCACTCAGAATCAATATTAGGCCACTCATATATTAGCTTCTCAGCTTCTTTTTCATCAATAGCATTAACAATACTAATTGGTTTAACAAACTTTAAATCCCTTGCATTTTTTAAATATATTTTAACAATAACTTTGTGAGTAACTTCAATATCCACATCTGAATATCGAGTTAATGGTGGTGTATCATTGGACATGCTCACATTTAATGGACGTTTTGAATCAATTAGATTCATATCCAACTTCATTTCTATATAATATTCATTTGTTGTATTTGGAATCAACGAGAGATTCTCACTTGATGCCTTACTTGTAATAACAGATCTTTCAATAATTTGATCCCGACGTTTTACTTTTAATAAGTGACATTCTTTAAGTTCAACAGTAATCTTTTTAATAAATGTCTTTTGATCATGAATAATAAGTTTAATCGGAACTAGTATCAAGCTTCCTTTTTTAAAAGTTGTCTGTCTGAAAGTTATTTGGCAATCAAGTGAATCATTAGATTTCGTTAACGTTGTAGGTCGCGGTGGTATATTTAACGGTAAATTCCAACGTGTAATTGGACACCGAACTTCTACGATTTTCAAAGATTTTCGTAAAAATTTGTATGGTGGCAAATATCGAGAAATTACTGCTTTAATATAATATGAAACCTTTCCTATTGCAGCAAATTTGTTCATTGGTATAATCGATGACAATGCGTTATTGGGAATTAAAAATTCAAATGGCAAATCCAAATTTGTGATTTCACCAAAATGCATCATTCTATTCCGATCATAATTCGTTGACTGTGGTGTCAAATTTGTCATTAATTTTCCTCTTGTGGTTTTAACTGCAGAAGGTTCATGATGTTGTATCGGTTCCGCTGACCAGACACGAACACCATGTTCGAGCAAAGTCTTGAACCCAGAATGAACGTTTTGACCATCATTCCATTCAACCATAATTTTTCCTTTAAAAAAAATATCAACACTATATGCTAATAGTGGTTTAGTTGTTTTATAACGAAGATGAAAGTTTCCTTGAATTGTCGAAGGTTGGACACCAAGATACCCTTGCTGAAATGTTTGATCTCTTAAAGAATAAGAGAAATAAGCTTTCTTACTATTGCGTTTGTATGCATGTCTTGGAGGTGTCTTCACATGTATCATACTAGTGAATTCTGACATCTTTTTTTCTTTTTGAAAATCATAGGTTGAATTTGAGATAGTATTTGGTCATGAAATTCAAGAAAAAGTCAAAAAATGTTTATAAAATATAAACTCCGTTTCCTTTTAGATTCTTATAGACGGTACGTTCTACAGATTTGTCATCACATTATCTGTTATCTGTATGGGCTCACAAATGCTTATTCTTGTGTCTTATTTATCCAGTTTGTTCATTGTTTGCGGATATCAGATTTACCCTGATATGCTTATTCAAGTATCCTTGCACATATAATCCATAATCGTCATACGAGATGGGCGCTGTTTAGTAGAAAGGGTGGAAATCTACATTTTGGTTAAAAAATTTTTATTAGCTTATTATCAAATTATATTATGCTTGTTTAATAATTTTTAAGTTTTACGTATGACCTTTACCATCTAGTACTGTATATAGTACCCGGTGTGACACGATTTTTACATAGTGAAAAATTAAAAATCACGTGTATTA